AACTGACTAAATTTGGCAAATTAAATAGAATCACCAGTCTAAGGATTACTGGCACGAAAACACACCAGATTCTCAGCATTATTTTCATATATATCTTCTCATATGAACAATCCTCCCAAGAGATTACTCATAACCCAAGGTTAGACATGACGTGTTTGGAATAGTAATTATTTATGACAGAGTATATTTATTTAATTAAACATACATCTGGTAATTTAATAGAAAATCAGCAAATATTTAAAACTGCCTGACCTGCAAAACACTTTATTTCACATTGTTCAAATGCAGCAGAGCCTTGGCTTGCTATGGCAGAAACGCCAACCCCCCGTTCATTAATGAACTTTGTAAAATAGGATTCAGTACTACATGTCAGTGAGAGTGCAGCTTGCAAAACACCTACCTAGAAACAGCTCAATATGAGTAATACACATAATGAAAATGTTAAAAAAATAGCAGGTAAACAAAGCCTGTACAGGGAGAAATGCGGTCTTGGCAACTGTAGTCATACTACTCTAGCCAGTGTAGTGCTTGCAAGAGCAAACTACACAAATCTTTCAGGGATGGTGTAGGTATACATAGAATAATAGGGTGGTAAGGACCTCAGAAGGTCATTTAGTCCCACTTAGTAACCAAGGTAGGATCACCCCTGTTCTAAAATGCCAAGGGCCAACCTTTTTGGCATGTATGCCACAAATTAGCCCCACACCTCCCTGAGTTCCACTCCAATCTCCTTCCCCTGCCCAATCAGCTGCTCTGCTTTCTACTTCCTACCCTGTGCTCCCTGCCTAATCTGATGCTCTGCTTTCTGCTCCCTACCCCTCCCTGGTCTGCTGTGTACCCCCTCCTCCACATACACAGACAGGGTGCCCATGTCACTTATGCCACACATGCCACCTCTGCTCTACATCATCATAGCCAAGTGTTTGTCTAAAGCTGCTCTGAAAAATGTCCAACAAATGACAATTCCACAGTTTCTCTGGGTAATCTGTTCCAATACTTAAACCACCCTCATAAGGAGAAAGTTCTTTCTAATATCCAACCTAAATTTCCTGTCTTGCAATGTAAGACCATTATTTCTTGTCCTATGTCCTGCAACCACAGAGAATGGCTTATCCCCATCCTCTATATAAGCATATTTCAAGTATTTGAATGCTATTATCAAATCCCCACTCAGTCCTCTCCAAACTAAATATTCCCAGCTCTTCCAATCTTTTCTCATACATGTTTCCTAGATCTCTAATCTTTGTTGTCCTCTTTGGGCTCTTTTCTTCATGTCTGTCTTGAAATACAGTGACCAAAACTGGATGCAATAACCAAAAACCTAGGTCAGGCATTTTCAACTTTTTTGGGTCAGTGTACCCCCAGCAGCTGGTCAAGAAGGCAGGAGTCCCCCGAGTGCCCCCTGAGGCCATCCCAAGTACCCCCAGGGGTATGTGTACCCCTGGCTGAAAACCCCTGCCCTAGGTAAAGCCACAGCAGTGCTAAATAATGGAAGAATGACTCCAGTATCTATCAGCTTTTTTGGCTTTGCCACGGAAACATGCTGTTGATTCAGATTCAACTTGAGGTACATTATAACCCCTCAGATTCTTGATTTTGCCTAAAAGCATAAGGCTGGACTAAATGATCTCCAGACTTCTATTTTTATAATTGCATTATACACATTTTGTAAAATAACAATATAGCTTTATCACAACAAGCACTTCATTGTTGAGGGGTGAAGCTATAGGTGACCAAAATATGTTTTTTCTGTGGGAAATTAAAAAACAAAAACCCCAAAATAACCTTGAGATTCCTATGAATTCTTCCTTTTCACCACCCTCCTTGAAAAAAAAACCCCAAACCATTTTTTTTCATATTCTTAACACTATTGAGTTTTTCTTAGTCAAACTGACCATTTTGATCAAAACTATTTTTTTTTGTGAGATCTCAGGTTTAAATAAAGCTCAAATAGGCCACATTCAGATAAGCATGGCCATGTGGTATGTGGCACCACAGACATGTCTGCAATGCCACATACCACACACTCCATTGTTCTCCATGCTGCAAGGGAGCAACACAGTGGGTTTTTTGGCCTCTGGATATCCAGAAACCCATGGAGAAAAAAAAGCAGAGGATTGCTGCTGCTGCAACCCCAGGGGGCCCCAAGACCCCAAGTAAGGCTGCTAGGGCCAGCCCAGTGCTGGCCCCAGCCTCCCCTATCCCACTGAAGGCAACTTGCATTCCCCAGGGACAACTAGCAGTGGCACAAGGTGCACCACTGCTAGTTGTCCCCGGGGAACCAAACATCCATGCATGTCTGGACAGGGGCATAGAGTTTAAATGGTGAATGGGCCTTGAGCTGGTCCTGAGTTTCACCCAATTAGCCCAGGGCTACACTTACAAATTTTACCAAAATAAGCATATTTGTTAGGAGCATGATGTTTTTTCTGTCCCTAACTGAAATCACAATGGTTGCAAAAACCCTAAGGCAGATGCAGGCGTACCAGCAAAAAGGCCTTTGACATAGCTTGTTCCGTTCCGCAAAGAGATTTATGAAGATTTAAGATTCTTTTGCTAGAGAGAGTTACATTTTCACTAGGGGGAGCTGCTGGTTCAGCCCTTCTTGTATATAGGAGTAAGGCCTCCTCTGCACATGCAGATAAAGGTACAGTGGGATCTAAAGAATGATCCACACAATTACGCACATTGGCAATGCATAGGGGGCGCACACGGGTGGCACATACATCCCCCGAGATCAGCCGTGCAGTCCCTAGAAGCACCAGCTGCAAAACCTGAAGCACCGCTGAAAGTGCACTTCCGGTTTCACAGCTGGCTCGGCAATTGGCTGCTGGGGGACCCCCCCATCGGCAATCTGCTGGCCCCCCAGACTCAGAAGGCACCAGTCACCCATGATTGCGCAGTTTACATTACCACAATCTCCCACCACCGAGGGTTTCATCCAGGTCCAGAGTTTTGAAGCACCCCCTGATCACAGTCCCATGGCTGTTGGGACCCAGCTGGGTCTCTGGCACCAGGAGGCATACTGCAGGGACCCAGCATCTCTAGGTCCCAGCAGTGGCAGGCTGCTGCCTGGACTCAAAATCCACAGCTGCTGGGACTGAGCATCCTGTCACTTGTGGGACTCCTAGCCCTAACTGGGTATGGTGCATCCCTTCAGCTGGGAGTGCCATCAGCTGCAGGTGAAAC